AAAAAAACAAAATCAAAACAAAAAACCACCAAATACATAACAAGTAACAGAAGGTTATTTTGACAGAAGACAGAGGCTGTCCTGTTGAGGGCTTCCAAGTGTGAAGGCTGCTATTTATCCATCTGTCAAAGGGAGATTCATCTCAATTGCTAAGATGTAAAGACCTGCTAGCACCAAACTCAGACCTTCTCTGTGATACCATCAAAAGGTATGAAGAATTGGATGGAAACATCTTCAGAAGGTAAATGAACACCTTCTGAATGCTCTGCCAGCATCCCACAGTCTTGTATGCGGATACCCCAGATCTTGGGAAAGCTGGTCAACTATTCTCACCCTAAAACCAGCTCTAAGTAAGTGCTGCCAAAAGACTGGACGAGCGTAAGATGCACTTGTACCTGATGGGTATCCAGCTCTCTCCTGCTGAGAGGCGGAGGGTGCACAGGATGGGGCTCAGAGATGTCCTTGGTATAAGCGCCAGCACAGACCCAGAGGTCAGGCCAGGGCCGTCGCCTGCCTCCCTCTCGGTTCTGAATACTCCTCGAGTCTCTCCATGGCCACAATGTCGGTTTCCATCTCAGATGACATCCGAACCAGCCAGTTCGAGTACACGGTGACCTGCAAGGGGAAGAATCACGTGGCATTTCTAGAGTGAGCAGGCGTACTTTATTTTCCCATGTTTTCTTTTCTTTTAATAAGATAACAGGAAACAAATTATTTTTCAATAAGAATGAATCATGGAGGCCAGGCAGGTGGATCACCTGAGGTCAGGAGTTTGAGACCAGCCTGGCCAACATGGCAGAACACATCTCTACTTAAAATACAAAAATTAGCTGGGCGTCGTGATGCACACTTGTAATCTCAACTATTTGGGAGGCTGAGGCAAGAGAATAGCTTGAACCTAGGAGGTAGACCTTGCAGTGAGCTGAGATTTTGCCACTGCACTCAGCCTGGGTAACGGATTGACACTCTGTCTCCCTCCCCCCGCAAAAACAGTGATGAATTATGAAACATTCAGGTAAGAATGGTATAGAAATGAGCAACCCAGGCGTAGCCATCACCCAGGCCTGCCACACTGCCATCTCCAAGGCATATACCACATTTCCACAATAACCTATGGGCCACATAAGTCATCAGAAAGGAGACTGGAAAATATTGTGAACCAGGTGACAATATAAAAACACAGTGTATTACCATTTGTGAGATGCAGCTCAAGCAGTGCTTAGAGGGAATTCATAGTTTTAAAAGCATTCCCCTTGTATCTGGAAGTATCTTCTTGGACCATCAAGGAATGTCTTTGATGGGGAAAATCCTGGCAACATGTCAAATCCTCTCCATTCTAGTTGGTCACCAGGCATCGTATCCACTCCTCAAACTCCAGGCCTCTCCCTTTCCTCTCCCCCATTCCTGGAGTTGGAATCAAAAGCAAAGCACAACTGGCTCCCCCATTAACACATATTAACAATCCAGCCACGAGCATCCCCTCTTACCTGCAATGAGTAAGACACTGAGAGGCCCGCCAAGCCAGTGCTGAGGCTGTGCCTGGAGATCACTGCAAACAGGGCAGCAAACAGGACAGTGCAGTTACCCACACACCAGACGCACAGCCAGCCACCTGGACAAGACACGGGCAGACAGACAGGCATGGGGTCAGCTTTTCAGAGACTTGGCTTCCAGCACTTGGAGACAAAAGGGAACACTTTGCTAACTCAAGTAACTCCACAATAGTTGCAGAGAGAGGCCTTCTTGGCACTGCTTTTCAAAACAGGCACAATGGCACAGGGTGAGGGAGGGCAGAAAGGGAATAATGCCAGTAAATCCTATTAATCTGGCAAACCCATGGATTAAACCAGAGCTCTCCAGAGGCAATCTTCCCTGGAATCTGAAGCTGGCCTTTTTGAGAACCAAGTTTTCCTCATTGAAGCCTTTAAAATATACACATATAGGCCGGGTGCAATGGCTCAGAGTTGTAATGCCAGCACTTTGGGAGGCTGAGGCAGGTGCATCACCTGAGGTCAGGAGTTCAAGATCAGCCTGGCCAACATGGCAAAAACTACTAAAAATACGAAACTTAGCTGGGCATGGTGGCGCATGCCTGTAATCTCAGCTCCTTGGGAGGCTGAAGTGGGAGAATTGCTTGAATCTGGGAAGGTGAAGTTGCAGTGAGCCCAGACCGTGGCACTGCACTCCAGCCTGGGCGACAGAGCGAGAAACTAAACCAAAAAACAAAACAAATATATATATATACATACATACATACAAACATACATAATGTGAAATAACACACACATACACAAAGACATCCTGGAAATTCCTAAATACTAAGGAGACAAAAACATCAAGTATAAGAGGCACCAGTGATTTAAAATAACCATCAATGTTTCTTAACTCTTGGCTAAGAACAAGCATAAGTAACCGTCTCATTACCAGAGAGATCTGAGAGGGGAAGGAAACAATGCTATGATTGATCATCACTGTAACGTTCCAAAGCCAGACTCTCCTCCTTTTCAAAATGTTAAATATACTATTTCACCCTTAAAATAGAAATCTTCTTAGTCATTTTGTTTTTTGAGATGGGGTCTTGCTCTGTCATCCAGGCTGGAGTGTGGATGTCATGATCACAGCTCACTGCAGCCTCAACCTTCCAGATTCAAGTGATCCTCCTGCCTCAGCCTCTTGAGTAGCTGGGACTACAGGCCCATGCCACCATGCCTCGCTAATTTTTGTTTTTTTTTTTAATTTCTTTTTTTGTTTTACACAGAGTCTCCCTACAGTGCCCAGGCTGGTCTCGAACTCCTGGGCTCAAGTGACCCTCTTGCCTTGGCCTCCCCAAAGTGCTGGGGTTACAGGCATGAGCCACCGCACCCAGCCATCTTATTTGTTTAAAGCTAGGCCTTGTATAACACAAGAACTATTATTTTAATGTTCTAAAATATAAACCATTCTAGGAAGATGGGGTGTTGGTCTTTTATCAATTGCAGCCCTCATGAACCATGTGACTGACGGACTACTCTGGCAGACACAGCCAGATTGTCACAAACTCCTCCCTAAAAATTCTGCAAGGGAAGTCAAGGTCTCTCGTTATTCAGGGTTGGCACGCCCACCTGACACTATGGGGTTAGAGCGTGTAAGACAGGCTAGTGGTTATAGATCACCTCTGTGTGCTGGTACGTTTTCAGAAAAGCTTATCAGGAAGCAAATGGGTGAGAGGGGTGCTGTTTTAGGGATAAGCCAGACACGTCTCTAAATCAGCAAATAATCAGCAAACGTCTGCCTCTTTTGGATTGATGCTATTATCTGTGTCCACAAGATGTCAATCTCCTACCCCATCTCCTTTTTTTTCTTCCAGAGACACGGTCTCACTCTGTCACCCAGGCTGGAGTGCAGTGGTGCAATCATAGCTCACTGCAGCTTCAAATTCCTGGCCTCAACTCATCCTAGGACTCAAATGAAGCTAGGACTATAGGCACACAGCACCATCACAGGCTTTTTTTTTTTTAAGAGGGAGATGGGGTCTTGCTATGTTGTTGCTCAGGCTGGCCTTGAATACCTGGCCTCAAGGAATCCTCCTGCCACAGCCCCCTAAAGTACTGGGATTACAGGCATGAGCCAGGACATGTGGCCCACAAGATGCCAATCTCATGATTCAGCTTAGTGACATTAGTAAATTGCTTCTGACACCCTTCACCCAGGGGTGCATGACCACCCCCAGATGGAAACAGCGTTGTGAAGATACTCAATAGCAGAGTCTGCCACTGACAATCTTCAAGCCTCTCCATCCTTTCTGCGAAGGCCCAGTTTGCCTTTACACCCACCACAGGTATGAAGAAGAGATCAAGCAAAGGGACAAAGTGCTCGTGCGCCCTCCTCTGACCCCTCCCGCGGGCCTGCCATTCCCACCTGTTGGCCACAATGCTGGGGTAACAGGCCTTCTGGTTCTCATCCACCTTCAGGTCACTCAGTGGATAAAGTGCTCCTGCTCCTCACAGGTCCAAATGACGCTGACCCCCAGCAAGGTCTCATTGAAATGGGAATAGACAGGGGAGCGGCTGACCGACTCGAGATGCTTCACCTGCCGGGAGGTGGCCACGTAGAACCTCGAGTTGAGAATGGACATGGAAAGCTGAGGCAGGCTCTCTCATCCCTCATCCTCCCAGGGCTGTGCTGGAGAAAGTCTAGACAGAACCGATACCTCCAGGAGGCACAATGTTAGAGCCGGGCCGCTCCCACAGGGGAGCCCACTCACCTAGTGAGCCACAGGCACAGCACCGCCAACCATGAGGACAAAGACAAGAGCTCATGCCTATGCAAAGCCCAGTGCCCCAGACATTGTTCTAAGCATTTTTACACACATCAGTTCATTCAGTCCTCACAAAAAACCTACCAGGTGCTCATTCCTACATATGACGGGTAAACTAAGGCTCAAAGAAGCTAGTTAATCTCCTCCCCAAGGTCACATGGCTAACAAGGGGCAGAGCTGCAGTTCAAACCCAGGCCATCTGGGCTGCAAAGTGCTAACCTCTACCCTGCACAGCCTCTCTGAAGTCTTTGACCTCTAGTGTTTTCTGGATCCAGCACAGTGGTTTTAGGCACAGCCTTTGAGGTCAATCAGACCTCAGTTCAAATCCTGACTCAACTAGTAATTCGCAACATAAACATGGGTAATATGTTATTTCTCTAAGCCTCAGGTTCCTTATCTGTAAAATAGGAACAACAATGCTTGCTCGGTGAGGCGTGGTGGCTCACACTCGTAATACCCACACTTTGGGAGGGTGAGGCGGGAGATCACTCGAGGCCGGGAGTTTCAGACCAGCCCAGGCACATGAGAAAACACCATCTCTACAAGAACAGAAAATTATTTTAAAAAAACAAAAACAAGACTTGCTTCACAGGGTAATTGTGAGGATGACAGGTAGCAATCACACAGTCATCCGTCTGATGTAAATTTGCACGTACACATTATTTCACAAATCACACAGTCATACACGATGTCACTAAGCATAGTGCCTGGTAATAACAGAAACAGCTGTTTCTGTAGATAAGAAATGAATATTAGCAATTTCATACAGTTTGACCTAACGGGAAGCACTCAGTTCGATGGTGACTACTGTGAGCATTAAGTGACAGAATTCTGCCTATTGATCACATCCCCTCAGGGGGGACTGTTTATTCCATGGCCAGTTCCAGCACTCTCAGCCCAGCTGAGACGCCCATGAGGACAAGGCAAACCTTGTCACCTGCCTCTCCTTCGATGGCCTCCCAGTGCTCTTAGAGGTGCCAACCATGCTTCCCCCCACTCACCTCATCCTGTAACTCTCCCCCTGCTTTCCTGCATGCAGGCCACCTGCCTCCACCACTGTCCCTGTCCCATATGGGCCATTCCTCATCACCCAGCAGATGACAGCACAAATGTCACTTCCTCACGAAGCCCTTCCCATCCTCCAATGTGGGCACCATCTCCGGGCTTCAGTGTCCCAGCCCCTAGGCTACAATGACACATTTCACAAGCAGCTCCATGCAACCTCGTGGGCAGACACCTCATCTGCTCTGCCTGCCCCAACCTGGGCATTCAGCCAGTGCCAGGCACCGAGAGCCGCCCATAGGTCTTGTTAGATTCATAACAAAAGCCAACCACCTTATGGAAGCTTTGAGGAGCTGTGGAACATATGCTGGGACGGCCGTCTGAGGACACTTGTGCTCTCCTGGTCTAGGTTTCGTCATCTATGCACAAGGAACTGGTGAGCCCGGGGTTCCTGATTCCAAAAAGTGCCTACAAGTGCTTATCAACAGCAGAGCTGGGAAAACTAATGACAGGTTGCTAGAAACTCGGCCTCCCTGTGTCCTGCCCTGGGCCAGATATACTGGGCCACCTTGGGGCAGAGTCCAACAGAGAGCATCGACAGCAGCAGGTGGCTTTTACAAGGCCTCTGTGGTTGGCAGCTTCTTTCTGGGTGGCAGCATGGGCATTAGTTGGAACCCACAGATGGAGAGTCTTCTGGGGCCCAGAAATGCTGTAAGTGAACCCACCTACTGCACAACCACAGATCAGCTCAGAAGAGCTGTTCCGTCAATTCCCAGAATGTGGATCAGGTATCATTTCTTGTCCTGTTCCCACCACCTCCCATGAAATCCCAAGCCCTCCGCATGCCTGAAGGCCCAGGTGATCTGCCCCCATCTTACCCTGGAACCGCCCCCCTTACTCTCTCACCAGCTTTCTTTTGAACAGGCCAGATGCCAATTGCTCTGATGTGTGTAAGTGTGTTCCCTGTTCAATTTCCTCCCTTACTACTGCCTCTGAACCTTATTTACTGGAAAAATCTAATCTGAGAAAATATTTGTTCAGGAATGATCTGTTTTATTTTGAGACAGAATCTTGCTCTGTCACTCAGGCTGGAGTGCAGTGGCACAGTCGTGGCTCACTGCAACTTCTGCCTCCCAGATTCAAGCAATTCTCCTGCCTCAGCCTCTCTAGTAGCTGGGATTGCAGGCACCCACCACCACACCCAGCTAATTTTTGTATTTTTAGTAGACACGGGGTTTCACCATGTTGGCCAGCTGGTCTCAAAACTCCTGACCTCATATGATCCACCTGCCCCACCAATCTGATATTTTTTTTGAGACAGAATCTTGCTCTGTCACCCAGGCTGAAGAGCAGTGGCATAATAGCTCACTGTTACCATCCACCTCCCAGGCTCAAATGACCCTTCCACCTCAGCCTCCCAGTAGCTGGAACTACAGGTGTACACCACCACACCCAGCTAATGTTTGTATTTTCTATAGAGGCCAGGTTTTCCCATGTTGCCCAGGGTGGTCTCCACCTTTTGGGCCCAAGCGATCCTCCTGCCTCAGCCTCCCAAAGTGCTGGAATTACAAATGGGAGCCACTGCGCCCGGCTGAACTTCATAGAAACAAAATCTCACAGTACATATTCTTTTGTGTCTGGCTTTTTCATCACTATAATATCTGTGAGATAAACCCAAATTGTCGTGTATTAGCATTTCATTCCTTTTTACTACTCAGTCATAAATTGTATAATTATTTCACGATTTATTTCTCCACAGTCCTGTTATGGACATTTGAGTTGTTTCCAGTCTGGGGCAATTATGAATCAAGATGCTGAGAACATTCTAAGCATTGCCTTTTCTCTTTCTCTTTTTTTCATATACTCAGGAATGAGACTGCCTGGTGAGAGGATAAATGTACATTTAGCCAAAATCCATTAAAAAATTATCCTACAATCCCAACCCTTAAAAACATGATGTTTTCATGCATCTGGGTCCCTTCCAGTCCTGCCCACACACATGGTGCATTTCCTCTCAGTGATAATGACAGTGCACACACAACTTGGCCCTTCGCTGAAAGCATTTCCTTTGTTGTTGAAAAATAAAATCTTTGGTGTGGCCACAACAGCTTCTTCTAATGCTCCCTGCTCAAAGCCACATGGCTCCATGGTGTTCCCAGGGTCCTGCTATCAGCAGATATTTAAGTTGCCTTCAACACTGCATTTGGCCTGTTTTGTTCTTTTTGAGTCTTTCAGGAAATTTTCCAGCTGGCGTATGAACACAGAATTACATTTTTGGTAAATGTAAAAAAAAAAAAAAAAAAAAGCTGGGGCCGATTTCAAGGGGTTGTAATGAGACTCTGGGAACGGGACCTGCTCTCTCTGATTCTATCACTGTTTGTTCTCCTCAGTCACTGGGCCACAGTGTGGTGGGCCACAGGGGCTGGATGACGGAACAAGGCCTCCTGGACGCCACCTGAACGGTTGTGCACATGGTCTGAGATATGGCGAACCTCGTGGTTTCTTACTCTTGTGATGCATTGCAGCTGGAATGCTCTCATCTAAACAACCCATCCCCACTGCAAATGTGCTGCAGTGAATCCTTTAGGGGTAAGTAACAGCACAGTTTTGGAATTGGACAGACCAGAGGTTGCACTCTCAGCTCTCCCACTTCACAAGACACTCCACCTGTCAACTGAAAACATCTATCCTGCAGTACCCTAAGAAACCACGTGTTCAAAGAACATATAACAGACTCTGCAAAAGGGATGTAGCAGAGACTGATTACCTACACAATTTCCCTTTCCTTTCCAACAGAAACTTCTTTATTTTTCAGATAGGGTCTCGCTCTATCGGCTCGCTGCAAACCTCCACCTCCCGGGTTTAAGCCATTCTCCTGCCTCAGCCTCTGAGTAGCTGGGACTACAGGCAGGCACTGCCATGCCGGACTAATTTTTTTGTATTTTTTGTAGAGATGGGGTTTGACCATCTTGGTCAGGGTGGTCTCGATCTCCTGACCCCATGATCAGCCCGCCTCAGCCTCCCAAAGTGCTGGGATTACAGACATGAGCCACCACACCCAGCAAATGTTTGCATTTTTTGCAGAGATAGGGTTTTGCCATGTTGCCCAGGCTGCTCTCGAACCCCTGGACTAGCAATCCACCTGCCTTGCCTCCCAAAGTGCTAGGATTATAGGCATGAGCTACTGCACCCAGCCTTTATTTAATTTTCATAGTTGAAATAGCTACCTGTGTCTTGTGACTACCACACCAGACAGCAGAGCTCTAGAACAGACACTGTTGCCTGTGTGAGTTCAGGTAATATCACACCCTCTCTGTTCTCTACCTTCCCTCAGTTAGTTTGTATGCCACAGTCCTTTGCCCTAATGGCAAGGAAAGGGGAGGTTAGGGATTGAGAGGACTCAAGGAATTCCATGTCTGCCCTGCTACAGGTGGGTTTTCCCAAAGCCATCTCCTGGAGATCCTGAGACATCGGTGCTTCTCTCAAACTACCCACAGGAGGGCAGTGTGCGTTCCAGAGCAGCAACTTCCTAGGAACAGAGAGGCTTGCATCTCGGCCTCTTTAATCAGGAAGACACCCATGAAGCAGGGACTCCAGTGACAGACTCTGGAGCCAATGTGCCAAAACCCACCTCCACCACTTACCAGCTCTGGGACCTCCTACAGGTCACTGAATCTGTTTTCTCATCTATACAATGGACAATGATGCTGGTACTCAATGTGTCAAGCCTATCCAGTTACTGCTAATGTATCATATGGAACATACATGTGTATTTACAAACATGGCTCACACACTGCATAGCACAGTGCTTAACAGCGTGAGCTCCTGAGCCAGACTGCCTTGTTCAATGCCAACGCCGCCAGGTATTAGCTGTGTGACTCGGGGCAACTCCCTCAACCTCTCTGGGCCTCAATTTGTCTCTCCACAATCAGAGAAATATTAACTCCTACCTCACAGGACTGCTGCATGGATAAAATAAGTTAAAGCAGTTGGACGTGTTTACAGCAGAGCCAAGTACCAAGTAAATGCTCCACCAACACCAGCTGTTATGATCGACCCCGCTGCATTTGAGGACTCCCACAGGACCACACAGAATGGTATAGAGCAGGGATTCTTTTCTGTTTTCTGTTTTTGTTTTTTTGAGACAGGGTCTTGCTCTGTCACCCAGATTTGAGTGCAGTGATGCAATCATAGGTCAAACTATGGGCTCAAGCAATTCTCTGACCTCAGCTGCCCAAGTAGCTGAGACCACAGGCACATACCACCACATGCACCTGAAGTCTATTTTATTTATCTATTTTTTTACTGGTCTACTTTTTCTAGAGACAGGGTCTCACTATGTTGTCCAGGCTGGTTTGAACATCCAGCCTCAAGTGATCCTCTGACCTCAGCCTCCCAAAGTGTGGGATTACAGGGGTGAGCCACTACGCCTGGCCAACAGCAGGGTTTCTCAATCCTGTGACAACCAAAAGCATCTCCAGATATTGTCAAACATTCCCTGGGGGACAACACTGCCCATAATTGGGAATTACTAGTCTGAACCAATTTCCACCCTCGCCCAGCAGACAAAAGTCCACAAATGAGACCTCACAGAAGCTCTGCCACCCTGACAGAGCAAACAGGGTCAGGGGGTTCTCCCAACTCTCAGTATTTTCAGTGGTCTCTGTTCCCAACTGTCCTCATCTGTAAAATGGGCACACTGAGCACTCCTCCCATCTACCACCAAGGGCCACATGAACAAAGCACTCAAACATTCACTCTACAAATCTGAGTGTCTACTAGCTGACAGCTAGTGTTCCTCTTGGTTTGGGGGTCCCACAAAACTCTGAGGACTCTAAGGATCCAGTTGTATAATTAGACAAAGCCACCACAGGGTTCCACATTGGGCAGGGTGGGTGACAAAGGCACCCACTTGCAAAATGCCCAGGGATCCACAGATGCTCAGCCAGACTTTCATGTGCTCCTGAGTCCCGTGATGATGGGGTCATCAGTCCAGAAGCTGAGTCAATAGTTGGCAGCCATCACAGCCACATGGTTACATATGAAAAGGAAGATGCTGAGAAAGGAGATGAAGAGGCCAATGGCCTTTATGTAGTCCCAGTACACAGAAAGCTTGACCTGGAGACCATGGGAAATAAGGCAGCTTAGCATATGCACACTCCCAGCCCAGCTGCACAAGGGCAGGGCTTCACCGGCACTGCACCGCCCAGCTGCCTGCCTTTGCTCCCACCTAGAACACCCTCACCTTTAAGTGTTCCACAAAGTCAGCAGTAACAAAGCCGAGGACCAGCACGGTGGCTCACACATGTAATTTTTTGGCACTCTGGGAGGCCGCGGCAGGTGGATCAACTGATGTCAGGAGTTCGAGAGTAGCATGGCCAATATGGCAAAACCCCGTCTCTACTAAAAATAGAAAAAATTAGCCAGGTTTGGTGGCGAGTGCCTGTAATCCCAGCTAAATGGGAGGCTGAGGTCCAAGAATCGCTTGAACCCAGGAGGCAGATGATGCAACAGTGAGCCAAGACTGCCCCACTGCACTCCAGCCTGGGAGACAGAGTGAGACTCCATCTCCAAAACAAGAACAACAAAAGCCAAACTCGAGGTCTCTGCCCTGATGCACGGAGCTTCTGTCCATGTGGTGAGATGGGCTCCCATCAAATCATCCCAGATAAATGCCTCATCACAGAGAAGGGCTGTAAACAGCATACGATTCCACGTGAGTCAAAAATTGGGCATCCGGACCTAACAAAGCGTAAAGAGGTATTGGGGGAGGTTTTCGTTGAGAAAGTGACATTAAAGAGTTAAACCAAATCTGGGTGTGATGGCTCACACCTGTAATGCCAACACTTTGGGAGGTCGAGTCAGGTGGATCACCTGAGGACAGGAGTTTGATACCAGCCTGACCAATATGGTGAAGCTCCATCTCTACTAAAGTATAAAAATTAGCTGGGTGTGGTGGCAGGTGTACTTGGGACACTGAGGCAGGAAAATCGCTTGAACCCGGAAGGTGGAGGTTGCAGTGAACTCAGATAGTGCCATCGCACTCCAGCCTGGGTGATAAAGTAAGACTCTGTCTAAATAAATAAATAAGTAAAGAGTATTGGTTGGGCGTGGTGGCTCACGCCTATAATCCCAGTACTTTGGGAGGCAGAGCCAGGTGGATCACCTGAAATCAGGAGTCCAAGACCAGCCTGGCCAACATGGTGAAACCTCTTCTCTAAAACATACAAAAATTAGTCGGGTGTGGGGGCACATGCCTGTAGCCCCAGCTACTCAGGAGGAGGCTAAGGCACAAGAGTCACTTGAACCCAGGAAGTGAAAGTTGTAGTGAGCCAAAATTGCACAACTGCTCTCCAGCCTGGGCGACAGTGGGAAACTCTGCCTCCAGGAAAAAAAAAGAAAAAGAGTTAAACCAGCTGAAAATAGAAAAAGGCTGGCAGAACCAGCACGTGCAGGGGCCTGGAAGCAGGAGGGAACACAGCGTATCCGGGGCACTGAGTGAAGGCACAGGCGGCTGGAGCTAGGAGATCATGGGGCAGCGAGGAGTGAGGCTGAAGAAACCTATCTCAGCCAGACCACACATGACATGGGAGACTCGGGCCATGATTCCAACTTTTATGCCAAGACTAGCAAAAAAGAGAAGCCACCATTGAGCTTCAAGCAATGTGTGACATACTGCCCAGCAACCAAGGTCAAGTGTCACCTCCATGCCGCAACTGGACCAGCCTCCCCAGCTCCTTTCACTCTGAGCACAGAATACCAACTCACCCATCTCCCCAGTGCTCAGCTTCCTCCAGGAGGCAAAGGTTGGAGTTTCTCTCCTTGGTGTATTCCCTGGGGAGCCCAGCATGGCACTAAACAAATCAGTCTAGTCACCTGACATGCAAGATGGCAATCTGCTTTAGGCCAACCCCTGCCTAAACCACCTGGCTTGCTTTCAAGAAACTCCAGGTGTCTTTACCCATGTCTGTGCTCATTGTCATTTCAAGCTTTTCATGCTGAATTTTGAGTCGTAAAAATCAACTGGACTGGGTGCAGTGGCTCACCCCTATAATTCCAGCACTTTGGGAGGCCAAGGCAGGAGAATCGCTTGAGCCCAGGAGTTTGAGACCAGCATGGAAAACACAATAAGATCCTATCTCTACAAAAAATTTTAAAATTAGCAAGGCATGGTGGTCCACACCTACAGTCCCAGCTACTCAGGAGGCTGAGCTAGAAGGATCCCTTGAATCCAGAAGCTTGAAAATGCAGTGAGCTATGGTCACACCACTGCACTCCGGCCTGAGCAACACAGCAAGGCCCTGCCCCCTACCAAAACAAACAAACAAAAATCATCTGACCCTACAGTCTAGCTGAAAGGTAACAGGTCTGATGCGTAACTGATTGTTCCCTTTTGAGTTTTCAAGTCTCCATTCTGAGAAATGAAATACGTGGGAGAAGACAGGTCATAATTAAGAAAGTGTTTATTTCACCAGGCGGCTTCATCATGCAGCCAAGCTGCCTGCTGCCCCTGAAATTAGCCTGCAGGGTTTGGGAACCCCTTTCTCGTGAGCAGTGGAGTGTGGTGGGCTCAGGGGTCAGAATTGACAAGTTTGTGGCCTGGCATGGTGGCTCATGCCTGAAATCCCAGTACTTTGGGAGGCCAAGGCAGGCAGATTACTTGAGCCCAGGAGTTCAAGAACAGCCTGGGCAAGAGTGAAACCCCATCTCTACAAAAAATAAAAAAAAGATTAGTCAAGCACACCTGTACTTCCAGCTACTCAGAAAGCTGAGGTGGGACAATCACTTGAATCTAGGAGGTGGAGGCTGTAGTGAGCCATGACTGTGCCACTATACTCCATCCTGAATGACAGAGTCAGATCCTGTCTCAGGAAAAAAAAAGGAAAGAAAGAAAGGAAGAAAGAAAGAAAAGAAAAGAAAAAAGAAAAGAAAAGAAAAGAAAGAAAGAAAGAAAGAAAGAAAGGAAAGAAAAATGGTGAGCATGTCGTGCTGGCTCCACTCTTGGTCCAACTTTGATAAGTTATAAACCCTCTGGATTTGCTGTTCCTTGAATGTAAAATTGAAGTTAAATGAGGATTAAATGGGCCTGGCATCTCTGCCCCTTCCTTCCCATGTCCTGTGATTTGGGGGTAATTTCTCTGGCTTCCTGGAGGTTCGGTAAGGGTAAGATGAGAGAGGACACCACAGTCACCTCTGCCCCTGGCCACAGTCCTGACTGTGATGACAAGTTAAGGAAGAAACCAGGAACAGACAGTCCTGGGAAGCTCTGGACACATCCGGGCAGGTCTAAGAGAAAGCATCCCAGCCTCACTCCCCTGCTACCACTTCTCATGGGGTTTTTTGTTTATCTCTATGCTTATTTTTTTTACCTACGTTAAAAATTCCATTCCCTGGTTTTTTTTTGTTGTTTTTTTTTTGAGACGGAGTTTTGCTCTTGCTAACCAGCTGGAGTGCAATGGTGCAATCTTGGCTCACCGCCACCTCTGCCTCCTGGGTTCAGGCAATTCTCCTGCCTCAGCCTCCTTCCATTCCCTATTTTTTTAAAAATATAATCACATTTATTTTTAAAAATAAACTTTGAATCACTACCATAAATGGAGAATTATTAACACTTGCCCAAAATAGATGATCTTTAAAAAAAAATTAATGAAACAGGAGCCCGAAACCCGCTTTCCTTGTTACAAAGAGAGGCCAGTGGCTGTTA